CCGGGAGGACGTGGCCGGCGCTGTGAATTGATCTATAGAATGAATTAATGTGCTTGTCCATTGAAGATGGAAGCTTATCCCATGCACCCATCTATGCAGTTCTCTGTGCAAGTGGATTAGTTGTGATCATTCACGGAGGAGCAACTACTAAGTGCACGGTCAGATAACGTTAACTCGACGGCAAACACATTCATTGATAAGTTTATTGTTGTGGATGATAGAAGAGCATAGCAGAAATAGTGCGAAATAGGAAGCTATGGTCATCACAAAAGAGGAGATCGAAAAAGCGAATTGGCTTTCACCCTTCAGCTTCTAAGCCCCTTACAGCCATCGTCATAGCATCGCACCGCTTTTAGTTCTAGGACACTTGCTGGTTGCAATTTTTAGATCAGGATTCACTGTGATGCGATCAGTTGTAAGCAGCAAAAATTTCCTTCCCAACTCTCTTGTGGAATCTTTTAGTGGCTCTGAAAAGGGCCGGTTTTGATAGATTTCGACGGAAAAATTAAGAGCGTTCACCACAAATACGAAGAGCCAGCTGAATGTCCTTTGGCGTGAATGGCGAACAGACCGGCAAGATAGGTCGGTTTATTTCAGTTAAATGATCTTTATTTCTTGTGTTTGTGTGGTTTACATGTATGAATTTTTCAAGTGACACAGATGCGTCTTTTCAACTTTAGTACAGTGAGATTTTAATTATTATTTACAGTTTCTAGTCCTATCAGGCCTATTTTAAAGTATGACCACCTTGGTGGGATTGGTTTGATTTGAATTGGAAAAAGGAGTCTACTTATAACTACTATTTACAACTACAACTAACCTACAACTACTATGTACACCTAACCTACTATATACAAATTGCTTATCAAAGCATGTTCTGATAAATTACATTTTTCTGCAAATTTAGTCTTAATTTCGTTAATTCTTGAGTCTATTTTGGCAACTCCTGCCTCTTCGTGTAAATTTGTTATTCTAGTGTCGAAAGGACGATCAAGAACCATCCTCAGCACTCTATTCTGAGCGACCTGAATTTTGTTCCTGTGAGTCTGTGCACATGATTCCCACACCGGAGCTGCGTAGAGGATCGCAGGTGCTATGATTTGTTTGTAGACGGCCAGTTTGTTCACCCTTGAGAGGTGGGATCTGCGGCAAATCAGCGGATACAGACACCTAACCAAGGTAGAACACTTGACTACAGTTTTCTCTACATGCGAACGGAAGAGGAGCTTTTCATCGATCAACATCCCAAGATAGGTTACTTCGGCGGACCACTCAACCCTTGTGCCATTCATGATTACAGTACAAGATGGAGCCGGTTTCAGTTTGGGCGATTGCCGATGTAGGAACATGATCGCTTGTGTTTTGGAGGGATTGATTTTAATTTTCCACGTGGTGGCATAATCAGCAAAGGCGTTAAGGCATCGTTGAAGTTTGTTCGTTATTTCGCGAGGCATCCTTCCTTTGACGGCTATTGCGGTATCATCTGCGAACAGGAAGAACACGCAACCGTCTCCAAGGGGAGGAATGTCGGAAGTATAAATGCTGTAAAGCAAGGGGCCCAGCAGACTGCCTTGCGGTACTCCTGCTGGGATGGAAAACGTGTCGGAAAGACAACCATTCAACGATACCTTAAACGACCTTTGCTGAAGGTAGTTACGGGTGATTTTAACCAGATGTAATGGGAAGTTGAAGTTACAAAGCTTGTACACAAGTCCGTCATGCCAAACATTGTCAAACGCCTTTTCAACGTCTAACAAGGCCATGGCTGTGGACTTGGATACAGCTTTGTTACTTCGGATGTTATTCATCACCCGCACTAGCTGGTGATTGGTGGAGTGCCCCTTTCTGAACCCAAACTGTTCCGGAAGGAGAATGTTATTTTCCTCGACAAACTTGAGCAAACGATTGAGAATGAGTTTCTCGAACAATTTGCTCAGCGCTGAAAGGAGGCTGATTGGTCTGTAGCTTGAAGCTAGCGTTGGGTCCTTCCCGGGTTTGCGGATAGGTATGATTTTCGCTGTCTTCCAGATACTTGGAAAGTAGTGCAGTGCCAAGCATCTGTTGAAGATAGCGGTTAGAAGAGACTGCACTTTCATGCTGAGTCTCTTCAAGATCAAGTTGAATATACCGTCAAACCCGGGGGCCTTCATGTTCTTGGTGCATTTCAGCGCTGAGCAAATTTGTTGTACTGTAATCATATCCGCCGGAGGCACGACACAAGGGGAGGCATCTAGGTTTTGAACGCATTGCGCAACCTGATCTTCGAGCGGACTTTGGATATTCGAGCCAAGCAAATGCGATGAAGCGACATGCTCGCCGATCGCATTTGCTTTCTCCTGTGGGGTGATTAAAAGCCGATCGTCATCATTTTCGACTTTGAGAGGTGGAATGGGTTTGGGATGAGTTTTCAGGACCTTGGCTACCTTCCAGAATGGTCTGGAGCGGTCGTCCAGATTCTGGACAACACGCCCGAAACTTTCATTTCGGAGTGAGTCCATTCTGGAAGCAATCTGTCTGTTCAGATCAGCCATTTCACGTTTTTTGCCCAGATCTCCAGTCCTCTGAAACTGGCGTCTACGAACATTTCTCAGGCGAATCAAAAGTTGGGTGTGGGAATCAATGGCAATAAACTTACCCCTCACAGGAACTCGTCGGACGCACGCCTCGTCAGCCACGGTTATGGCTTGGTGGAGTCCCTCCAACGCTCGGTCGATGTCCTCCACGGTGTCAAGCGGCGGGTTGTCGATGATGTGCCTGTCTACCACGCGTCCAAACTGGGCCCAGTTAACGCGATGGTAGTCCTTGCGCAGGCTTGAAGCAGGAGCCACGTTGCAGCCCAGTTCAGCCACCACCGGTTGGTGGTCGGAGCTGAGTTCGTTCAAGGCTACCGGCTTGGACAAGCCGATATTTGTCAGGAACAGGTCTAGCGTCGATGGGTTGCCCGCCGGTGAGATGAATGTTGGTTCATCCGAAAACCAAACGGAATACAGCCCATGCTGTGAGTGGTCGAACAGGAGACGACCGTTCTGGTTCTGCTGGTAGTTCCGCCAGGCCTCATGGCGAGCATTCAGATCTCCTCCAACTACGAAGCGGGAACCGGTACGGGTGATGGTGGACAGGTCCTTCTTGAATTTAGCCGCTAGTCCACTGCTGGCGGCACACTGTCGAGGGCAGTAGACGGCGATGAACTGGACGTATCCAGTCGACGACTCCACCTCCACACCAAGGGCCTCGATGATAGAGGTGCGGATATGGGACAGAGTGTGGTATTTTATTCCTTTCTTGACGACGACCGCAACACCACCCCCCCTGGAGCTGGTGCGATCAAGCCGGATAATGTTGTGGTCAGGCAACCAGAAGCTGTCGCCGGACTTTAGATGGGTCTCGGTTAGAAGGCCCACGTCGATGCTGTGCTTGCGGAGGAAGTCGGCAAGCTCAATCTTTTTTGCTCTTACAGAGCAAGCATTCCAGGTGACGATAGTTAGCGGTTTAGACGCCATACTGGATGATGAACTTACCGAGCACTTGGATCTGTTCGGGCTTATTGCGGCACTTACGAAGAGCACCGGACATGTTGACGAAAATTTCCATCAGTTCATCCGCTGAGAACAGATCGGGGTTGTTGTTTTGCGCTGTTGGTTGTCTCCAGAATCCAGGGGGGGATGGAGAGCTTTGACCAGCAGAATCACCGGAAACTTCTTGAGGGGGGGCGGGTTGCACCCGCGAATTCGCTTGCCTTTGCTGGGGAGCACGAAGAGGCGGAAAATCCTCCGTCCTGAATGATGGGGTTTTGTCCTTCTTGCGTCCTGGTTGATTGTTGCTTGACGCCAGCTTTCGGATGCGTTTGAAGTCCTCGCGTTTGGAGCACTGTCTGTCAGAGCCTTGATGTGCACCACCACAGTTAGCGCATTTTATCGCCACGGCTCCATCCGCAGGACAGTTGGAAGTGGCGTGTTCTTGAGCGCAGTTGCTGCAGCGTGGCTTGATGTTGCAGTTGCGGGTACCGTGTCCAAAATTGAGGCACCTCTGACACTGCGTTACGTCACGATGACCGCCACGGTATGGCTCCCACCGTACGATGATGGAGTAGATCGATCGGATGGCTTGTAGCGCATTGAGCGTCACCGTCCCTTTCTGGAAGTGCACCAGGAAAAGACAATCCGGGTACGTCTTCACGTTTTCATCTCTCCTTGTCATTCGGAAGACAGCGATTGGGGCTAGCTTGTACCGGTTGATTTCGGCTTCGACCATCTTGGGGTCGAAGTTTGGTAGACCCCTGATGACTACCTTGAAGGGCTTCTCACCGGGGATGTCGTGCGTGAAGAATTCCGCCTTGGTATCCTTCAGATATTTCACGGCCACTTCGTACTCCGCTTTGGTTCGGAGCATCACCTTGGTGCCGATCCTGCCGAGCTTAAACTCAGCTGCAACGCCCAGCGATGAAAGATCGCCAATCAGCGTGTTGAATGGGACTTGCTTCACCACCAGTGGAGGAAGCTTCATTTTTGCTGCACTCGGGCTGGCAGCAGTTTCGTTGTCGACGGCATCGCCGAAATCACCAATGACGCTGACGTTCGTCGCGGTGGCATCGTCCCGTCCACTCGCACCATCGGACTGACCTTGATTTTTCTTCCTCTTCTTAGACCGCTTCACCGTGGCTGAGGTGGGATTCCCTACATCGGTGGGAAGAGTAGCGTACCTATTCGAAATAGGTACACTCAAGCTACCCTCACCGCTGTTTTTCTTATCCGTTTTCTCTCGGAGCCTGCTCCGGGAGCGCTGTCTTCCCATCACACGAAGCGACCGACACTACTGACGACGCGATTAAACTGCGAATGTTGGAACAAACTAGAAACTTTAGAACAACTCGACAGAGCGAGCAAAGACCGAACTGTACTGCTTGACGTACAAGCAGAGAATGGTCGGTTTATTTCACTCATCGAGGGTATACTTATACCTGCGTCGAGTAGCATATTATTAATACAGGGAGGGTACAATACATGCAGTGGGAAGCAAAATACTGAAAAGAGGAGGAGTTTCGCTTCTTATGCTACGGGCACAAAACGAGACACCACCGTCGAAACGACTATCAGTTATTCTCTACCGAAGCGAACAGCTAAATTATGGCACCGAAAACCAGTGGAAAGGCCACCAAGAAGTCCGGAAAGGCACAGAAAGTCATCGTCAAGGGAGAGAAGAAGAAGAGAAGACAGCGCAGGAAAGAAAGCTATGCCATCTACATCTACAAGGTGTTGAAGCAGGTCCACCCGGACACCGGAGTCTCGTCGAAGGCCATGAACATCATGAACAGCTTCGTCAATGACATCTTCGAACGTATTGCTGCTGAGTCGTCCCGTCTGGCTCAATACAACAAACGCTCGACGATCACCTCCCGCGAAATCCAAACTGCTGTCCGTCTGCTGCTGCCGGGTGAGTTGGCCAAGCACGCTGTTTCTGAAGGAACCAAGGCCGTCACCAAGTATACTAGCTCCAAGTAAATTCGTACCATCCAAACAATCAATCGGCCCTTTTCAGGGCCACAAATCGATTTCCAACGTGAAAGAGATTTTGATGATTTATTGAACTTTTAAATGTTCGAAAGCAGCGTTAGCAAAGTTCGCGATAAGAAATTAGTTGATTTGCCTTATGAAAGTAAGGTTGACAAAAAGAATAAGAGGTTGCATCCATGACACGACCGTACGGTTTTGACGTAGATGGAACATGAAGTAATTGTGACACGCTTGGCATGGATGGCGAACAGACCGACCAGATAGGCCTCGCTGAATTCCTGTAGGATCATTAACGGCCGAGCTCTGGAAGCGCAGATCGGTCTTGAAGTCCTGGGTGATTTCACGGACCAGACGCTTGAAAGGCAACTTGCAGTCAGCAGCTCTGTCGATTTCTGGTAACGACGGATCTCACGCAGAGCGACAGTTCCTGGCCGGTAGCGATGAGACTTCTTCACTCCTCCATCTTTTTGAGAGGAGCCTTTCCTCCGGTGGACTTACGAGCGGTCTGCTTGGTGCGGCCATTATACGATGTGGATACGTTGAACGCAATCTGTTGAATAAAAAATTTAATTACCCAGCTCAATCATGGGCATTGGCTCCAAGCAATATTTCATCAGATTCAAGACAAATCTGTACGGTAGTAAATAGAACAGAAAATGAAAATATAAAAATGAGGTAAGGAAAATAATTAAAATATGGTTCAGATTAATACCTGGTTGAATAAAGATACACATTACCATTTATTATATAACGTGTAACGTAGTCCTACGTCACCATTGCGTACAACCCCATAGGGCTGTCCCTTGTAGTTTTTTTAAAGTAAAATATAAAAAATTGATAAATTTTTTTTACTTGCAGACTGAATTGTTTTTATCTGAAGCCATTTTGCTTGAACTTATTCCGTTTAGTTTAAAAACGGCATTAATGGTGGCAAAGTTGCCTGTAAAATGTTAAACGTCAAAATTTTTTATCTTTCGATAGTTTTGTTCTGGGATGGGACTTGACAATCAGGTAGCGATTTCGAGCCAATTTCTAGATAGAGCTGAAATTAGGGCGTAGTAGCCTTTGTAAACAATGGCTTCTGTCGATGTTTTCTAGGAACTCAAGGCACGCCCACGCAAACTAACACAACCGTCGTTGGCGTGCCTTAACTTTCTAGAAACCATCGATAGAAGTCATTGTTTATAAAAGCTGTTACGCCATAATTCCAGCTCTATCTAGATTTGCTGTCAAATCCGAGCCAGTTGCTGATTGGTCGATTTGACAGTAGCAATCGTGGAATAAAAGGACAGAGGGATCACATCAATCTGACTGGCAGTGATGCCGGTATCAATGTTGACGTCAATGGTGTTGTTAGTTGTTTATATTTGCGAAAGGAAAGTTGGAAAACAGGGTTCATGGCGTGCTTTAAGCGCTAGATATTCTTTTTTGTTTATGGTTGTTTTTATTGTGTTAAGTAAAAATGATGTGCAAGGTGCTAAACTGCGGTAGAAACCGAGGTAGAAACTCAGAATAAAAAAATTAAATTAGAAAAACTATTCTGCAATCCTGGCATCATTGGTCAACTCCGTCAAACACCATGCAATAGAGTTCTCTACCACCGTTCCCGCATAAACGCGAACCATCACTTGATCTTACCGATAATGGTTATAAATTATTTATAATCCCTCCTAAACTTTAACTGAAATGGTTATGGAACTTTACATGAACGTTTGTGTGATAAAGTTTCAAGCTTATGTATTATGGTTTTTTGGAAGCGGACCTTACAAATAATGGGTTGTTAAGAACCATTACCATTCCAAATTCTTGTTTTCTCCATACATTTTAAGAAAGAGAACTATATAAGAACGTTTTTACTTATGATTTGAGAACATTAATGGTAATGGTTATGGTAGTCAGTAAGGTCCATTAATGGTTTTGTATTATCGCTCAACTTTACGTGGAATATATCGTGAATTGGTAATCAGTAAATTACAGGCAATCAATTCGCGATATATTCCACATAAAGTTGATCGATGTTACAAAACCATTCGTGGACCTTACTGACTACCATAACCATTACCATTAAAGTTCTCAAACCATAAGTTAAAAGGTTCTAATATAGTTCTCTTTCCGAAAATGTATGGAGAAAACTAGAATTTGGAACGGTAATGGTTCTTAACAACCCATTATTTGTAAGGTCCAGTTCCAAAAAACCATAATACATAAGGTTGAAACTTTATCATTAAACGTTCATGTAAAGTTCCATAACCATTTCAGTTAAAGTTTAGCAGGGATTATAAACAATTTTTAACCATTTTAGGTAAGGTCAATTTATGGTTCGCGTTTATGCGGGTTAGTATTAGCAACAATCAATACGAAACCAACGATTTTAAATTGGCTCACTACTTGACTAGCCTATTGGTCCCAAGCAAATCGACTAACGTACCCCATAATAGTATAAATTCCAGTACTACACTATGTTTGTTTTGATTCGCTATGAAAGTTTGACATATAAAATGAGGGGTTAGTGGATTTTCCTATGTTTCGAGGGGTGAATCGATTAGCTTGGGACCGAAGATAGTACCAGAGCTGAGCCAAAAAGTTGAGCTCGTTTCTTCGGGACCTTCTGGTCTTAGAGTTACCTCTATGGTATTAGTGAGAAGTTTCACTAATACTTGCATTTTACTGGTTGAAAATAAAAAACAAATAGCTGTCAAGTCGAACACTTTGACAACTGATTTCGTGGTTGATAATAATAAACAAATCGATTTTACACGGCTACGCTTGCTAGGTTGGATTAGTGAGATCTTGCGTCGAGTAGTCAATAATTTTCGACGGGCATTCGTCAAAAACATAACGAAGAGAGAGAAGGTGGATTGTTCAGTCCCGTACCGGGTTTTGTTGTGCGATCATTGCAACGATGTTCTACCAACAATCAATACGAAACTAACGATTTTAAATTGGCTCACTACTTGACTAGCCTATTGGTCCCAAGCAAACGATTAACGTACCCCATTCTAGTCGAAATTCTAGTACTACGCAATGTTTGTTTTGATTCGCTATGAAATTTTGACAGATAAAATGAGGGGTTATTGGTTTTTCCTATGTTACGAGGGGTGAATCGATTAGCTTGGGACCGAAGAGAGTACCAGAGCTGAACCAAAAAGTTGAGCTCGTTTCTTCGGAACCTTCTGGTCTTAGAGTTAACTCTATGGTTCTACTCCAGCGTTGGATCAACAAGCTACGTGGGATCCTTGATAAGGGCAATTCATCTATTGAAAGCAGTTACTCAGGAGGTGTATCTACGTAACTTGGCACAGTTGGAAGTTCAATCGTTCTCGAAAAGTTTTCCTTCTTCAGGATGATGTGATGAATTTTATTTAACATTAGAGCCATTTCCATTACCTATTGATTTACTGAACAGTTTTATAAAGGGATAGAGTGCTGCATTAAATTCATTTAAGCATGTATTGCTGTATTTAAGCTAAAAAGATTGCTTATTGTCGTTATAAAACCATTATAAATCCGAGTGAAATCCAAAAGGCTGTTAAATTGTTACTTGGGTATGTAAGGCTCCGTCAAGCGTTAATATGAAATAAATACAATAAAATTTAATGTTTCAACATAAAAATAATAGTACGCTTCGCCATAATAACAACCGGTGGAAACTAACGGTTTTAAATTTGCTCACTACTTGACTAGCCTGAAAATCGATTAACATGTCTAGATAAACATTTCAAAAGGTCCTATCTGCATTGATCGATTCTCTTCATCGACTTTCTCTTTCGTCAATAACTCAGCTGCAAAACTTTCCCCTGTTGTATTTGACGTTTTGGACGCTAGATAAGAACCTTCTTTATCAAACTATGTGGTAGAATTAGCGCGAAATCTGTTTGCATAGCAGTGGTTATGAAAAGAGAAAGTCGATGAAGAGAATCGATCAAAGCAGATAGGACCATTTGAAATGTTCGTCGAGATGTCCCATTCCAGTCGAAATTCTAGTACTACACTATGTTTGTTTTGATTCGCTATGAAAGTTTGACAGATAAAATGAGGGGTTCGTCGATTTTCCTATGTTTCGAGGGGTGCATCAATTAGCTTGGTACAGAAGAGAGTATCAGAGCTGAGCCAAAAAATTGAGCACGTTTCTTCCGGACCTTCTGGTCTTAGAGTTACCTCTATGATAATAGGTCGTGTAAATGTATCCAACAGGAAAATAAAATAACAAATAGCTTTGAAACCATATGATTGAACAACAATTCTAGATTTTCTATTTAACCATAGCTTAACAAAAAAATGCTACAATTCTCGCGTAACATTTGAAAACGGCCTATCCGCGTTGATCGATTCTCTTCATCGACTTTCTCTTTGGTTTACCACGGCAACATAAACGAATTTCTTGCTAAGCTCGCAGCACAGTTCGACAGAAGATGAATGAGCTTGCGCCTAAATTAACACACTGAATGGGAAATTCATTTGGAGTCGGGTTATTCGCGAAAGAGAAAATCGATGAAGAGAATCGATCAACAATGATAGACCCTTTTCTCGTGTTGCGCGAGAATTGTCACCTCACCGGTGAGAGAGAGTCACATGACTCGCAGAATAAGGAAGATTGTCATTTGTGATTGATATATTTATTCCCTTTTATTCCCATCAATAATCCGTTAAATCATTCATTGAGAATGACAAATCATAGTGCACTATACCTAGTTCAAATTCAAACAATAAGCTGCTGAATTTTGTGTTACCTGTAGCTTTCATTTTCAACATCCCCTTTCTGTCATGTTTCAACTAAATTTTAATTGTATCGCGCTCAGATTGCTTAGTTTTTAGTTTTAATATTTCACACACGAGCATAATTTTAATGTTAAAAGCACCCATCTATGAAACCGCCCATTTTTCACATACATCACACTAATTCACTACAAACAAAGTGATCCGCGAAGCGTGCATGCCGGCATTCAAATCAGATCGACATCACGCCGCAAGCTTCTGTTTTTTTTTCGTTTTTAATGGCAATTGCCATGCTACTAACCAGGCAAAAAACCGTAATTTCTGCGTACCACACTGTTCATGATGCGATCTTATCAATTTCGTTTTATCAAAATTTTACGCAGGCTCTTCAGCGGTTGTAATTTGCGTAAATTTCGATTAAAATTCATAAAGCGTTCGACAGTCAGGGGCTTAAGATCACTTTTCGCAAAAGGTTACAACATTATAGCCACAGCTCACCCACCGACAACAGTTGATTCGACGTGAGCATGCCATAGTTATGGGCT